CTGGTCCGGCCGGGGCTCGAACCATCGACCTCGACCTCTCGCACAACAGTCCGGCGCTCTAACCAATTGAGCTAACCGGGAGGCGATTAGCAAAAAACTGAAAAACAAAAACTTCTGGAGGCGGATGAGGTACATTTGTAGTGAGAGGAAGCAACACGCCTTTGATCATAGCTGGAGGTGGAGGGGGAATAAAAAAAAATGTCAAAACAACATCTAGGATGTGATGCGTCCATAAACACTACAGGGAATGCTGGGAACAACTTGCTATCGGGATCGAGACATGGAGGAAATTTCAATGGTCAACATTCAGGTTTTCAGCTGAAAAAACGAGGGAGCTGGCGGGGGTGGAGGATACTCTGGGGGAGATGGTGGGGCTAATAAAGAGTTTTTCTGTGGGGGAGGTGGAGGATCTTTTAACGATGGAATAAATCAGAAAAATGAATGTTATTGTAATGGCAATGAGCATGGTAGAGTGATAATTGCTGTAATGCTTGCTATATTGGTGAAACTGGTCGTCATTTTTCCACATACGTCCGTGAACATCTCTCTTCAGACAAGTCCTCACATATCTTCAAACATTTAAAAACTGAGAAAGTTGTCGTCAATCTTGCTCTGTGGATTGTTTTGAAATCCTTGATTCCGCCCCAACTAAATTTCAACTTAAACTTAAGGAGGCTATGCACATAAACTGGGAAAGGCTAATTTAAACTAACAAGTTCATCACGTTAACATGACGCTTACGCTTTAGGCTTTATATTCTTTCCAACACTTTGTTACTCACTCAAATATGTAATTTTTGTCACTTAATCATAATTAATTATGCATGTTTCGCCTATTTGTTATACAGTCCCAACGGTTTTTCAAATATTCTGTAACTGAAGATGATGTTCGCAACATCGAAACATGTCTTCGAAATTAAAAAATGTCGTACTCTCCTAGAAGATAACGTTTTCCAGAACTCAAATTCAAACGGAAGCACTGTAATATTTGCTGAGATGATTGCGGATGGTTATATTTGTAAAAAAACTCGTCTTTATAAATATGGCTAATAATTCGCTTCGTCGATTGGCATTACGTGCTAATTTCCAGAAGAAAGGAAGAAATAAATGTTTTTCCATAAACAAAAATTCACATTTGCATTGAAAAGGTTTCCAGTAAGACGTGACGTGAATACTGGACGGAGCTTTTCATTCAATAGAAGTGAAATTCAATTTACAGTAACGAACTTCAGATGATCAGAGTTTGTTTGAAAGGTTCGTTTGTATTCCAGTACTTGGTCTTGCGGCTTTGTAGACTTTACTGTGTATAAAACGAAAACTGAAAAGGTGCTGAAAGTGAAGGGGGAAAGTGATGAGGGCGCAAGTTAATTACGTACGAATCATACGTAGCAACGTGAAGGCTGACCTCACCAAATAACTACAAATTGCACTATCTTTAACAAAAACTCCGTTCAAGCCATATATTTCGCAATTACTTTCAAATTTGGGAAGTTTGGTTATAACAGTAAAACAGTGTTTTGTTTTTTTTTTCGCTTAAGTGTGGGCGGACGAGGAGAACGTGCAAACAGGTGATAAACAATTTTGTCTCCTTAGGCTGAACTCATTAAGACATAATAGGACATAATAAGGCCAGACTAGAAGAAGTCCTACTTCCTCTACTAATTAAAATTGGGCGCCATAATCAGCCATTACGTATAATCGAGTTTCATCAACCAACTAGATCCCAGAGGAACTCATTCAGTTTCGACAACCACTGAGAACCTCATAGCTTTACCAAAAAGTTGCGTATTTGAACGTAGATTAATCTTCAGCTCGCATATTTTGCCTGATGTTTCTCTAAAGTTTGAAAAACTTGCCGTTCGCTTAAATTACTGAGTACAACAGCCGTTTCCTGAGGACATGCTCTTTGTAATCTACTGCTTCGTTCTCACCGTTTTGGTTTCCCTAATACCAGAAGGACAAGGTAAAATTAACAATTTTTGTTTGGGAAACCGTTTTGGTTTCCCTAATACCAGACGGACAAGGCAAAACTAACAATTTTGTCTTTGCTATGGTTTAAGCATATATGAAGGCGAGATATTACTTATTTATTTATATTTTTTTTTGATAACGAATAGACCTTGAAGCATTCTTGCAAACTTCTCCAAGAAGTATCAAATATGATGAATTATCATTTGAACCGTTCGGCCCCACTTGCACAATCCCATAGAAAACCATAGTGAAAGCTGACGCGTGCAGAGCCGAACGGGTTGATCTGAACCGGTCCGGAAAAAGCCGTTCGGCCCTGTTATCCTCACGTCGCTTTGTTGCTAAAACTTCAAGGAAAATAGACGTGAGAAAAACGGGCGCGTTTTTCAAGGAATTGGGAGTTTCTTATTCTGACTTGAAAAAATGAAGGGAAAGTTTTGATCGCAGTATTTTTTTGTGCTCGTGTGGCTGCGTTTTCGCGTCCTATTTAGGCTGAAAATTTCAATACATTGTAGTCATTTGATAAAATGCTTATTGACTGAGTTTGGTCGGGCTGGACAGGAAAATATTTGGCTAGAGATCATGATGTAAGGCCCTTCCACTCAGCAATAAGTACATATTATTTACCCGAAATAGTGTAAGACAAATTACATATTTGACAAGTAGTTAATGCATTTTTAAAGTAATTTAAAAAATCACAGGTTTTGGAATAAAAAAGCTTATGAGCACAAAATTTCAGGGAATGTGACCTTTTGTAGTATCTAAAGCGAAAGTCACTATCCGCTTCAATGAAGTCCACGAAAATTTTCGACTTTTTTGATCTTGCACTATGGATGAGTTGAATACTGGCAGACCTTCTTTCTTATTTAGGGTTCAGAAACTCATTTGAAATCGACTAATACTTTGCCGCTTGTTCAAATAAATTTATTACACAGGAGCGAAGCTTTTAAAGCCATGGTAATGAAACCAGTTCGTCTTGGCGAGAAACATAACTTTTCGTCAGATCAATGCTTCAAACTTGGGTCTTAAGCATGTTTAACTGCGGTAAAACCTGGCTTTTTTGTCAATTTGACACCAAAGTTGATCTAAATTCTGGTTCAAATTTGGAAAAACCTCAATATTGAGGAATGAATTCGTGCATTTCAGCTAGCCGGTAGAACTACGACGTAAGTCATTAATGATTCATCGCAGAAAGGAAGTTCCAACTTTGCTTGGGGCGAAAACAGGTGTTTTAGACAAAATATTTGTTTGACAAAGACGACAGTTGACAGCTTAGGATTTATCCCTCCTATCATACTCAATTACGCCCTTATGATGAAAATGCATGGTAAATTTCAGCGTTTCGCCTCCAATTTAGTAACCGTTATTGCACTGTATGCATAAAAAACTTTTGTTACATCTTTAGAAGTAAAAAGTCAGGACCTGAATAGTTTAGAAAGAGTTGTCAAAATTGCTTTACATACCCACGAGTTCATAGAGTTAAAAAGTTCGTGAGTTAGGTGGGCGATTTTGTTTTGTCTCACACATTGCTTTTCATATTACGCAGTTTTGTCGAAGACTGAAGTAGCGACATGCTAACAAACACTTTTCATGAATTGACGTGACATCAAGCTCTGACAATAACCTTTTTTTAAAAGTATTAAATATGCTTGAACGAGAGGACCATAATTATGAGATAAACACGAATCACACTAGTACCCTTCATCAACAAAGTTGTTTATGGATCATGGATTTCGGCAATAATTGATCGATCACGATAGCTAGCTGATAACATTCAAAGGAGATAAATGGAGATTGCATTGATTAGTCAAAATATTAAATTAAATCCCCCGACTGATGTTAAACCAAGGCAATAATTCAGTATTAACACTGCTCTACAATTCCAGCCTCGGTAGAGGCGCTCAGTGCTAAATAGCAACTTTCTTAATATAATTGTTAACCAGGTAACTGTCGCAATTTGAAGTTTACCAGTTTACCTAAACCTGGCTACAGGGTGGAGAATCACACAGTTCGAACTATTGAAGTATTCGACGAGGATCTCTGCATGGCGCAATGCTACCTCGAACCTAACTGCGTCAGTTACAATTTCCATATGATAATACAACTGTCTGGAACACACAATTGTGATCTGAATAACGCTACTATTGAACACGCTGAAGATCTGGGGATTAACGAAAATTATATTTACCGCGGAGCTGAGGTAGGAAAGACACTTATAAGCCAAGAGTATGATACTCTTTGTCTTGTCGAAGCCTCGTTACAAGACTAAGGATTCCTCAGCCACTCCTGCTCCTCTAGATTTTCATTCAAACCACCTAAATAAAGGTTATGATGATTGCATATCTAAAATTAATTTTGAACTACAGAACCGGTGGAAAGAAATATTTATAACTGACAAATTACCTCCCCTGAAGCTGTTCTGTTACGTTTTCGAGGGTTCAAGCAAATTATATTCTTGTTTTGAACAGTGCCACACTTGGCAACGGAAATATATACCTTTGCCAGCATTCGAGCATATAATAAACAAGCTTGCGTGGACAATTATGGGATACGCGTAGATATGACAAACCTGCATAGCATTTAGAACTCGCAAACACGTACGCATGCGCAGAAGAAAAAATTAAACTGCCCCTATTTTTTTTCTTCTTAAGAATGCTTGTGCCAGAAATCCTTGCAAAAATGATGCAACATGCCAAGCTGGCTTTACACACAGAGATTATCAGTGTTTATGTGTTCTTGGATATGGATTTGAAGGCCATGATTGTGATGAAGGTGAGGAATCCTCTTCAATTCTATTCCCAGTCAATAAGACGATAAAAGTGTTACCGCAACAACCAACCGCCCCCTCCCCCCTTCCCACACCACCTTACGAGTCTGAGGTGACAGTAAGGTCCCAATCAATAAATACAAACAAACAAACATCAACAAGAAAACACAAGACCAAAAGTACAGGTTTCATTCAGTTATGAATCATCTTTGATGTTTTAGATTTGGAAGAATGTACTGTTGGAACTCACGACTGTGACAAGAATGCTGAGTGTAACAATACCTTGGGATCTTACAAGTGTACTTGTAAAGATGGATTTAAAGGAAATGGAACCAACTGCACAGGTTGCTGTTTCTAACATATCATGATGAGGAGAATAAGAAAACAAGACCAAAAAACAGGTTTCATTCTAATAATGCTTTAATTTATTTTTTATGTTTTAGATTTAGACGAATGTATTGGTGGAACACAAGACTGTGACGAGAATGCTGAGTGTTACAATACCTTGGGATCTTACAAGTGTACTTGCAAAGATGCATTTCAAGGAAATGGAACCAACTGCACAGGTTGTTAGTTGCAACGTATCATCAAAATATTAATAATAATTTTATTAACGTGTCACTGATAATAGCAGTTATCCACTAAGTAAGGACACCAGTTAGTAAGTAAGATGACGAATGTAAGATGTTGCTGGACTATGATGAAGGTAAGATGACGAATGTAAGATGTTGCTGGACTATGACGAAGGTAAGATGATGTTGGATAATTCTTTATCCTTTTTAGACATCGAAGTTTCAATTGAAGGCAACGGTTTATGTACAGTGTGTACTACAAACCTACAGATTCACATAGTTACTCGTTGTATTCATCTTCGCATCCATCTCATGTGAAGAATTCCACTCCTTTTCCTCAGTTTCTAAAACTTCGTTGTTTATATAGTGATGACTCTGATTTTTTTCACAAATCAGTCTATGTTCGAAAAACGCGGTCACCCTGTTTCTGTCGTGCAAGCGGGTCACCACCGCGCCCAACTAATTGATCGACAGTCAGCACTACAAACGTCACAGAAGGAAAATTCCGACCGCATTCCATTGACTCTCACCTTTCACCCTCACAACCACTCAGTTAAATCCATTATTCTTAAAAACTTYAAATTACTTCAAAACGATCAAGAGACTGGCACTATCTTTTCGCAACCTCCACTCATTCCATTCAAACGCAACAAAAACATTGGCAATAATTTTGGTCAGAAGTTCATTCCAAACTAATGACCAACCAGGTACTTTTAAATGCGCTCGCGCACGATGCAAAACTTGTCCTTTCATTCACAACGCTGAAAAAATGTCGGGACCTAAACCCTCCATTAAGATCACTGATCACTTCATGTGCACCTCAGACAACGTGATCTATTGCATAACTTGCACTTATGGTAAAAAGATATACATCGGCGAAACAGGAAGACGACTAGGTGACCGATCCCGAGAACACCTTCGCGACGTAGAAAGGAATGACAAGGACGCATCAAAACCAGTCGCTAGACAATTTAATCTACCTAATTATTCTGAGCAACATATGGTAATCTGCGGTCTTTCCTAACATTCAGGTAGCTCGGAAAGCCGCAAAACTCTTGAACAAAAGTTCATCTTTCAAATCAGCACTCTTAATCCTACAGGTATCAACGAACGCTTTTCATTGTACTAATTTATTCGTGCTTTTCTCGTCGCCATGTTCCCACCAATAGCGTACATACATACATACATACATACATACATACATACATACATACATACATACATAAACTTTATTTATCTCGAATTTAAGAGTAGCTGTAAGCTAATATCTTGGAGTGATTAAAATGAAGTAAAAGGAATAAGCTAAACTAGATTAAACTCAGAGAGAGCTACTCTCTCCTGGACACCTTCAAAGGTGTCCGGGAGAGAGTAGCTCCACTTTCTGCATATAGCGTAGCTCCACTTTCTGCATATAAACCCACACACAACCCACAATTCCTCCATTCGCTCTGACGAAGGCTAACGCTTGAAACGTGAGCTTTTTTAAAACTCTTTACGGTGGCCAATTTTCAATTTCAACTCAGTTGATATAGCCCAATTACCTTGTTACCCCCACCGACGCAGCACCACAGTTTCTCTAGAAACTTTCAGCCTTTAGTCAATGTCATAGATATAGATGAGGGTAATAATTTCGGTATCGGAATCAAGAGCAGAAGCAGAGGAGCAGGCCCAGGCACGCTGCGAGATTCCAGGACTGTCGGGGGAAAAAGTTTGATACCAGGAAAAGAGAAGAAAGAAACTCGTGGCAGAGGGGGAGAAGTGCTTTCTCTTAAACTTGAATTAAATTCAGGCCATTATTTTGCATGAGGGAGACACCGCAGGCATATATTTATTAATCCATTCTGTAGACGATAACAGTTTACGGTTTGTGTCATCTATCGACGTCAATAATCGTTTCCCCTTCCTTTTTAAAGTATTTTTAACTTGTGAATTGAGCGCATGCGCAAGAGCGAGTTGTAGATATGATGTGAAGAATGGCACTCGCTCGCTCGCTTGATTGGTCCATTCCTGTAAACTTTGTTTCGATTTTAGGCTTTTAAGTGCATTTGATAGTTTTTGACGGGAATAAGCAAACGAAATGGCGACCTTTGTTGCTAAGAATAGTGGTGGGGTGATGATAATCTTAAAAGAGTTTAAAACTATACGTTTTTCATCCGTGAAATAAAGTTTGCCCAATCTCCGAATACACTTTTGTCTCTTGCA